GCTAATATCTGTTCTGATCCTTCTAATCATGATCCGCAACTCAATGTATCAGGCCAACTACATCGCAATCGTTTTCAGAGTTGAACTCACCTTTCGCTTTTGCACTAGCTTACCTCCCATCTTAACTACTTCACTATCTATCGACAACTTCTAACTTGCTAGTTTTGACACACTCTTAAAATCTATCTTTCATCATATCTTTTCCTCTTACTGACTTCTTCTTCATTACTCACTCTTACTTTTCTTTAGTTACTTAGTAGACCGTTCTTTGTCTCCGCAGCAACTTGCAGCGTCACACCCTCTTCTTAGGGAGTACCCATCGAGACCAAAGTTGGTATCCTCATGGGCGAGACGATCATAGAGGAAAATGGCTTTTTCCTTTTGTGGATCCCATATACGATTCCTCTCAGATATTTGAGCGCAGATTAGTGATTTTTTCGGATTCGGAGGGGCGGGGGAGGCGTGGTTTGCGGGCTGTTGAGGGGTCGGTGGGGGTGGGGGAAGGATTGGATTAGCTTTTTCGTGGCGAGGTGGCGGAGCCAGGATAGGTTGTCTCTGTCGAATAGGTTTTCTATGAGGAGGTTTAGCTCTGAGGGGAATAGTGGCTGGACGTATTCGGGGCTCATCAGAAGGCTTGCATCCATGTTATCATCGTCGTGGGAATTTGCGGACGAGACTGCAAATGGTAAGGACGGGCTGGTTGTGGTCGTGGTCGTGGTCTTGGCCGTGGTCGTCGTGGCAGCAGCTTCATCACCTTCACGTGCAGCTGTAAAATCTCCGAACAGAAAGGGGCGAACGTCGGCTTCCTGGGCCTGAGAGAGGAATGAGCGTTTTAGTTGCTGGATCTCGGTTTCGGAGAGGAGATCTGCCTTGGCAATTAAGGGGATCACGTTGGCGTATGTTGATAGCTTCCGTATGCATGCTATGTCGGCCGCAAAGGAATCTATGTAGAGACCATCAGAGATCACGACTCTAAACCCAGCAATTGTCACACGACAGATGTGTGTGTCGTATATTAGTACGTACCTTTGGAAACAAGATACAATATGGCATCCACCTGGGAACCGCCATTTCCACTCAACAGGCCCAGGAAATCAGAGTTGATTGAATCCAAAGCCGTCACAGCCCTTTGAAACTGCTGGCCGAGATACTGCACGATACACTCCGCCTGATCCAGCAGACCCAATGCTCCGCTGGTGGTATCAACAAAACACAGGTTCCTCTCCAACACGAAATCCCCCATGCTTTTCCTCCTCCGGAGAACCCTTGAATCTTCAAGATCTGACCACCACGACGGGTATGGCTTGGTGCTGGCATATATCTCCACAAGCGACGTGGACTCTCGGTCATGATGGTGGGTTCGGGACAGTCGTTTGGAGCCCGGTCTACTGCTTGCTCTCCCAGCATCTGGCCGCGACGGACGGCGAGGGAGCGGGTCGACATGCACTATATCTTCAAAGATCTGGACGATGGATTTTATGAGAGACGTTTTCCCGGAACCTGCAGTGGAAGTTTTTATTAATGACGTCGGTTCCAGGAAAACAAGGCAGATGCCCTTTTCCAGGCTCGAACACAGTTTACTCACCAGCGGCACCCGCGATGAGTATCTTAAACTTGCCAATAGACTTTCCCTTTTCCGTAAATGGCCGCCGGCTGGGCATTTGGATACTTGGCATTATCAGCTGCGGAGTACTGTCCTGTATCTCCGACGACTCGAGGAGACAGCTGCCACTGCCACCTTCAGTTTCCGCCGCACCAGTTGAACGCTTGTTCCCGCCATCATGTGTGCTTATCCCATCAGCTTGACGAAAGGATCGCATCGACATTGACTTGGGGCTGCTTTGGAGGGAAGAGGATTCGATCGGGGAATTAGGTGAATAGGGTGTTAGTGGAAGAGAACTGGGTACTGACGGATTCAGCCCTTCATGATCTCCATCACTGGACTCGATGGGTTTCGTTGCTGGCATTTTCCTCGGAATGTGCAGAGTTGGTCCGCCGTCGGTTTCCTTTTCAAGCAGCGAATTCGGCCATTTGATAGGGCAGCCGCCGGCCCTGGGGGTTGGAGAATCAACGTGTGGTTCTTCGAGTAGAGACTCCTCGAGGCTCCGCACGTCGTATGAACCGTCTTTGGTTTCAGCTCCGGATGTTGGGGCAGTCTGGGAATCTTGCAGATCGCTGTCTCGAGTCAGGAAGAACGTTTCCGGTGAAGAGTGGCGGGGATGGTCCTCCGCTGCGCCTGGGGAGGGGGACTTGCGGGGTCGAAGGAGGTAGGTGTCAGGGACAGCGGGGCGCATGGCTGGCGAGCGGGCTGGCGAGCGGGCAGACGAGCGGGCAGACGAGTATGCAGGATGGGACTGGACATCTACATCTGGGTGGGAGACATCAGACAGATCATGGAGAGGAGAGTGAAGAAGCTGTAGGTGCCATAGAGCTGCAGAGGTAGAAACCGCCAAACCAAATACCCTCCAGGCTGCGGTTGAGTTGTCGCAAAGTACCAGCTGACAGAGCGCGTGGGGGCCTGGTTGGACGTGGCAGTAACGTAGTCAAGGCCGTTAGTGGAGTTTTAGCCACCTAGCCTCAGTTATGACGTTACCCTCAAACGATAAAATTAGATCCAGATCAAACTTGCAATAGCTATTTACTCCATTATTTAGTGTTTCTTCTCAGGGGATATTTTCCATCTTACCGGGTGGTATGACCGCATCATCCTCCCAAAGCTCGCTCTCCAATTGCCTACTTTTTTTTTTTCTTTCTTTCTTTGAAACACTCTCTGCTAGTTACCCCTCTTGTTGTATATCTCCACAGCTGCCAAGCCAGAGCCTTGTTTGGTGCCACAACACCCCCATTGGGCCCCAACCCAAACGAAAATGGCATTCAAGGACTGCTTTATCTTTATATCAACCGTCGGCCACAGCCATGCAACTGTAAATGCTTAAGCACTCGGAGATTTGATAATGATATTTGCATGCCACAACCAACCTGTTCCACTTCACAGGAGTAATTAGTTGGTTACTCAGCTTTAATAACTAACGATCCTTCAGTGAAGCTAAACGCATGTGTTTCTTTCTCTCGTCGTCAAAATAACAGCGTTGAGAGTGATACTATTGCATTGCTACCAACAAGCCATATATAGACGGCAAATTCACCTGCATTCTTCCCTGTCTTCTGGACTATCCAGGGAATACCACGTCGAAATCGAGAACTTCGATATTCAGCTTCGGGGGCCCTTACCCCGAATATATCTATATATATATATATATACATTTTAGGTCGAGTGTTGTCCACTACGTTTTACCCTCCTGGCTCATTCAGGCCTCAAGCTGCTCGGTACGTTGTCATGTATTCCATAACCTTGGAATATAGATACTCCTGTGTTTGGCGCCAAGTTCAACAGCACCCCGTAATTTCTCTGGCCATTCTTTCTTTTCCCCCTTCTTTTCATGGGCAGATGGAGGTGACTGCCAATGTGTGCTTCTGACTATTTCCTTACTCGAATTCCCGGGCCTCAGATGAAAACATGTTCATCGCTTTTGCTGCTGCACAGAATGAAAGCGTGCTGCGAAAATTATGTATGATTTTCACCCAGCTTGATCTCTGCCACCCTCCCCAGTTTATCTAAATTCATGTTGGTAAAATGCGGTGGAACATGGAACCGAAAGCTGCTGCCGTCGATGAAGAAATCAATTCCGTCTCTCTCCAACCCTGATTTTGAGAAATAACTGTGGCGCCGTCCCACTGGATGTGTCGCATCCATATGCCACACGCCTCAGCCATTGAATCCTAGGACCAGTGATGTGCAATTGGGAGTGTCAGTGTCACCGTGTTTTCCGTCTGTCAAACGCCCTTTTGCGTCTTGATTACGTATGATGCCTATATCAAAAAAATTATCTATATAAATGCTTCGCCTGCCCACTTATTTTTCCCGGCATTCTCTCAGACCTCAATGGATATAAACCAGAAGAGAATGGAGGGCAAAAATTAACGGTTCAAAAACTGCCCCCATTGCATACAAACTCAATTCCTCTTCCCATACCGTACATGGAACACCACTCAACCCTTCCCTCCCCCGCCGCGCCCTATACCCTCATCCCAGTCCCAGAGAAAAATCCTAACTCCACCAAATTACGAACTTAATCATATATATGCAGTTGTCCAACCTCGTAACGCTGACGTTCACCCTCCTCGGGACA